CTACAATAAGAAATGCATAAGAAATGTTTCATTTGCTCAGACGTGGAGGGAATCTTTGACCGTATAATTCTGTCATCAATCTTCCATTCCACCCTTTTTTGTAGCAGCGGTAATGAATAATGAAAAAAAGCACTTCCAGGCATCTTACATGCAGTAATGTCTATGAGGAATTCTGGTAAAATACACTAGAAAGGGAATGCATTGAATTTACTTGATTCAAGTATGGAAGACTGCAAAACATAATTGTGCCGCTGCAAAAATTAGTTCATGAAATAAATTCAATACTTTGCATTTTTTCAGTGTACTTTTTGGAATAACATGTAATATTAGAACCCAGTTTATGCTTTTAAGGAACACTGTTGAGCTTCAGTAAGCAGTAGTGATGGAGCGAGGGAGTCGATACCAAAAAAGTCCATTCTTCAACTCCAACACATCTGGGATTCGGGGTCGATTCTTGGCCAGTGACTCTGAGAATGAAATACACAAAATGCTTCAATTCTGTTGGCTATGTTTTTCCATTATTACTGGCGTGAGGGACAGTCTGAGGCATCTATAACACAAAAAGGTCTGGGTAGCATAAGTTTGTTTAATTACTAACCTTTATGATATGCCAATGCTGCTCAACAGCCACTGTAAGCTCAAACTCTCAAAAACATTTCAATACATCTGCCTATACCAGGGGTCAGCAACATGTGGCTCTTTTACTGCCCTGTTGCAGCTTCGCAGCAGAATTTTAAGTAAAAATAAAATAATCCTCCTTTGCAGTAGAATAAAGCTCTGCTGATTGTTCTAACACAGTTTTAATAATAAATAGTCTTAAACATTGGAGTTAATGTATAACTGTTAATTTAACCCTGAAGGTTGACGCCTAGACTGCTGGTCACCATAGCAACAGAGACAGCAATCTCACCTAGCTAGTAGCTAATGAAAAGGCAAAGAGAAAGATTTAAGATGAACATGTAAAATTTGGAGACGAATAGACTTATTTGCATTTATAATCCCTCCAGCTGGTTTACTGATATGTTTAATCTGCAACGAGAAACTGTCAAACACTAAAAAGTCACAAAGCTAAAGTCAGTTTCTCATTTGAATTTTCTCATTGCACCTTAAATGGTCCCTGCTGCACTATTTAAGGTGGAACGGGAAAATTGGAACCAAAAGCTGGCGAATGAGAAGCTGACTCCAGCCTTGTAAAAAATCGAACGTTGAGAGACATTTTACAAGAAAATATTCTATTTTTTTGGAAAGGTTTCCTGCCGGAGATGCGAGAAAAGCAGCTTATGTAATATTTCTTTAGTCTATACTAGCACATTAGCACATATTGAGACACAGTTACAGCCATGATGGTAAAATGGACATAAATGTTATGGCTCTCAAGGTGGTTTGATTCTTGCTGAAAGGACAAAATGGCTCTTCTTAACATTTGGGTTGCCGACCCCTGCCCTATACACTGCATCACTCTGCACCCTAACTCTGCTATGGAAAATCATTAAGCTGAAGCTGACTTCTTATTCGCCAGCTTCTTCTTCAATTTTCCATTCCACCTTAAATGTTGCTGCAGTTACATCCTGGTTTCTGTGCAACTGCTACATCGTTTAATGGTGGAACAGAAAATTTTGGTAAGAAGCCAACTTTAGCCTTGTGCTGGGAGAAGCAGAAGATAACAGATTTTGTGGAAGGCCTTCCCACAAGAGCGCAAGAATGGAGGCTGTAAGGCCGCAATGGCCTCTATATTGACTCCATATTAACCCCTTAAATGGCCAGGGCCCACCAAGTTTTATTACACACGTCTATAACCTAAGAATACCTCAGCCAGTTTGCATTGAAGTCCTTATAGTTACTGAATGATAACCCCCAGTATGTAATAAACCTGGGATTTTAAGGGGTTGATGACTCCATGTTAATGCCCATAGTTTTGGAATGAGATGTCCAACAAGCTCATGTAGGTGTAATGGTTAGTCCACATACTTTTGGTCATGTACTGTAAGTTTTACATACCATTAAATCAAAACTGACAAAAGCAGCCTTTATGTCAGATGTCTATTGGAATAAACCTTTATTTATGTTTATGTAGGTTTGTGTCAGTTGTCATTACAAGCATATGCAGGTGTTTTGTAGCCTTATGAACATGACCTACATTAAAGTGTTACTGAAAATTCTTCAGATGAGTGGTAAAATGTGGTAAATCACCTTAGCTATAACAACATAAAACACCTGCGTTTTTTATGTGTTATAACACGTGAATGTGGAACTCATTAAATGCACATTATAATCAATACTCCCCATTTTTAACCAGAAAATATGGAAAATATTTTTTGATACCACCCAGGCCTAATTCAGTCACACAGTGCTAACAGATGTCCTACTTGTTTTATTTACCTAATTTATTTTATTTCATTCAATTTCTACAATTTTACTGCAGATCCCCAAAACACAGTGCGGCATATATTGAGAAAAGCCACTGCAAAATCAAGCATGTTAGCCTGCAGCAATCATGAAAAAAGGTCAAAAGATCCTGGTGGGACTGACTGGTGTACTTGTTTTCACACTCACAAACATAATACAGACACTTATAGAGCACAGCACTGAGAAAGAGACAGTGTGATGTAATGAAGTGTCTAAACACTCCTGCTTTAATTATGTCACAGTAACTTACATGCACATTGTTAGCGTTTAGGCTAAATGAAACCTGAGCGGTGACCCAGCTAATTCACAGCGCTGACCTCCGATCCCAGAAATAGTGCGTTACACAATCAGAAACTAATACTGCCTCCCTGCCTCTGGTGTAATCAAGGCGGATTGGGAAGCGTGATGTGAAGTGAGCTAACGGCAATTAGCATGGAAATGACAATTAGCTGAGGGCAGCTGGGTTTAAGCTCCTGATGTAATTATAGTTGAGGGAACTTTATTTTTAGATTAAATCAAACTTGTTTAGATGGCCACCGTTGAGCTAAATAGCCACAGCTTGGTTAAGTGGCTGAGAAAGTGTTTTTTCAACAATATCTCTCCATTAAATCACCCCCAATATTGTCAAAACTAATTCAGCCCAGCAGGTTTCCATGTCAGTGTGGAATGCTAATGCTAATACTGAAGCAATGTAGGCTAGATCCAGCTATTTTTTGCACAGAGGGTTGAGATACTTAGAGATATTCAAATATAAGGCCAAAACTCATTATATGAACTCATTTCATTCTGTGTTTATGCAATTACACATTTGCATTTAGAATGGATTATTAGCAAATGGGTTTATGCGGTACTGACTGGCTTAGCATTACAGCTCCCTATAGGCTGGTGTTCTGAGTGTAAATTGAAGTTCTGTTCAGTGAAGAGTTGATAGGATTGTTAAGGTCAAGGCTTTGTCTGAAAATGTGTTTCTGTAGACAATACTGTTGCCACTACATTAATACATGCCATACATAAGACTTGCCACTTGCACTCATTGGGCATTTTATCCATTTTATCAGAAACACATATAGGTGCACTTTTGCAATTATTGACTCTAGAACATCTGACTGTCTACAATGCCCAATGTAAAATGTCTCCACAGGACCACTGCTTACCAAATAGGCATTGTTGTGCCTGAGACTGCCCCACCACCTAAACAATATTTGGTCAGAGGTGGCTGTATTGTGGTCCTTTTCCATTGACGGATAGGGTAGAGGTTAGAGCTTGAACTATTTGTCTGAACCTGATGGGACTCGACTGCTCACGTGAGGTTTGGACGTCATTTCCCAAATATGTGTCAGCCTCGGTTCGGATTCAAATTTCTGTTCGGGATCTCACAGCCCGCCCCTCACCTGTTAACAGATTTTACCCTGCCTTTCCCCCTGTCTCTTTACTTCATTCTCCCCCTCTACTTTCATTGCTCTAAAATGGTTTTTAATCTGGCATGCTGGAGTCACCCACTCATGTTGCTGACAGAATTTAGCACCATGTGGTTCCTTTTGCTCATGAGACTTGACAAAATCAAAAAAGGCTTTGACTTGGACTTGGACTCCCTACAGTGGGTTATTTTCATGTGTATAGACTTGTTTCTTAGTGTAGGTATGCCAGAACTGCATCAAATATACAATTGAAACACAGCAATGTCGTCAAATGTTATTAATTTATTTGAGAAAAAAAGTGAAGTGACAGAGACATGCATACTTTGTTAGTCCCCTTTTGTTAGGACCACTACAGCATAGGCATTATCTGGGTGGTGTATCATTCTCAGCAATGCAGTGACTTGATGTGGTGGTGTTGTGTTAGTGTGTGTTTTGCTGGTATGAATGTGTGTTGTGCTGTTTGTTGTGCTGGTATATTGCTGGAATTTTGAAATACAGAGAATGGAGTTTTGAAACACTGAGACTAGTCCACCAAGCAAAAACATCCAGCCAACAGCATCCTGTGGGCAGCGTCATTACATTTACAAGATGGACCAATAGGGTAGGAGTGTCAAATAGTGTGGACAGTGAGTGGACACAGTGTTTAAAACTCTAGCAGCACTGCTGTATATGTTCAATTTATACCAGCACAATACACACTAACACACCACCACCACATCAGTGTCTTGACCACTGAAGAACAGGATGAAAATGGGACTAACAAAGCATGCATATGTCTGTTACTTCTTAAATCTGTTGGTAGTTAATCTAACATGTAAGGTCTTAGGTCCAGCAACTGAAGTCCAAACCAATAGGCAAGGTTGCTTTACTGTATCTACATAGATACTACAGGAAAGAAAATTGATTGTATAATTACCATTGGGCGTTTAATACTTTAACCATTTTGTTTCCAACCAAAACTTAACAGTGAAACACTTGCAATACTACAATAATTGCAGCACTTAACTATGATAAGTATGATGTTTATACTAAATAAAAATGAACTAAAATTACAGACACATTATGCCTTTTCTGAAAGCCTAGAAGGCCTTGAGTTCCCCTCTGGTGTACAGTATGCATGCATAATTCCTTGTGCCAGTTTTTATCTAAACCTTGTCCATATGGATGCTTTTGCAGGAGGCTGGCCAAGTCCACTTTGTTTTTGATCCCTCTGTTTGGGATGCACTACACAGTGTTCGCTTTCCTGCCAGAGAACACGGGAGAGACAGCACGACTCTACATTGAGCTCGGTCTAGGCTCCTTTCAGGTGTATATGAGTGTTTGTGTTTGCATTTGTGATCTTGCATGCCTGTGTGTGTGTGTGTGTGTGTGTTTGTGTTGGGGGGTCGGGTGGTTTTTGGGGCAGAGTGCTTGACAGCCTGAAATGCGCAGAGATTTTATGAATGGAAAATATCATATAAATTTGAATAGTACATACCTGCAGGACCACCATTTCTCATTTACATAATTGCACCATTTATAAAAATAAACATTACATTGATTGCATTAGGACTAACTGAGCATTCAGGGGAACTGTGGTGGGCAATCTAACAATATTTTATCATTAGCATAGTAAATTACATCACAGTATATTTTTCTGAGTAGATCATGGATATGATCAGTACTTATTGGGATCACCAGTGACTAAACTTGCGATCTCCCAGTGGACCAGTGTATAGATGGCTGTGCCACTCAGGAGCCCTGTGAGGCTTTATCTTTGCAATATTGCACACCCTTATGTAAGAACAGTATATAAAGACCTTACAACAATCTTTAAGAGATTTTTAAACACCCCAACTTTCTATGAATCCTGTATTCCAAATGCAACATAATATATGGCATAATATCTTACATAATATCTTATAATGCTGGGTATAAGCTTGTGTATCTGCTTATACGAAGTTGTAGTTACATACATAATACTTTATAAAATAGAGTAACTTTATAATGTCAGATTTCATAACACTTCACAATATCTATTCATAACAACATTGTAAACATGAATGTTGTAATGCGCTATAACACACTAGAACAAGGTCTATTATATTATCTGTATCACAGCAGACCCAAAAAATACTTTAAAAAGACCTTTTTTAAAGCATGACTTGCATATGTAGTGTGAATTTGATAGTTTGTTTATTTTTAACTAACTGAAAACTGTAATGCAGAGCTAGCTGGCTACAGGTTCTAAGCAGTTAGTAATCAAAGCTAAATGGTTAGCAGCCCAAATAGCTGCTTTATGTTAGCCAATAGATAACTTAAGTTGCAGCTGTCGTGTTTAGTTATACAGCTGACAGTAGCAATAGCTTTAAGCTAGCTTTGCTAATTCAATCTTTAAACTGTCGCTGCATTGGAGCAGAGCAATATACACACACCTGAATCTCAATGTGCAAGACAGACCCCTCGATACCATGAAGTGTAGAGTGACTTCCCCACACCACACATTTATATGGTCTTTACAGGCTTTAAGTGAAGTGGAGCTTTAAGTGAGAGGCTTGAAGTGAAGCTTGAAGTGAAGTAAGAGAATTATGGTAACACTCTATGAATGCCACGTTTGTAAGCATCTATAAACACATTTATAACATGTTATGATGCCTTCATACGGCATTATAAACATGATTATAAACATTTATAAAAATGAATTACACTGGATTACACTTTATAGCCATGTTTAATATACATTATGAATTGTTAATATAATGCATTATAAGCAGTGTTGATAACATGTTATAGTGTCAGTGCCAAAAAAGTCAGTCCCAGCTTGGAGACTGCAAAGTAAAGACAAATATCAAGCTAACGGTGGTGAACACTAACTTTCCCACAGATGGCAGCACTAGTTTAAAGCCTGTAATGTGCTTTACTGTGTATGTTTTAGTGTTTCAGTAAATTCTTCAGTAAATACTTCAGCTTGAAGCCTCACTCTTAACACTGGAGGGGGCTTTAGTACAGCACGCTTCACTTTACTTAGAGTGGACAAATACAACTTATGAGCTCTTATAATTTGTTATGATCAGTACTTATAATGTATTATGTTAACAATTCATAATGCATAATAAGCATGGCTATAACGTGTAATGCATTTTTATAAATAGTTATAGCCATGTTTATAATGCCCTATGAATGCATTATAACATGTTATGAATGTGTTTATAGATGCTTACAAAGGTGATATTTATAGACCAGAATTGTGTTACCAGAATTATTTCACTCCACGTATAGCCTGTAAAGAGCACTTATAATTCTCTACAATGTTTATGTACTTAAAAATTAAATTACCTTCCTTTTTGAAAGATCTTTTTCACTTAAGCCTGTAATAAAGCTCTATGAAGTGATACAGTGCCTTTAGACAAAAGTGCTGGCAATGTTCTTATGAGCAGATATTATAATTTGTTATGGAACCTGACTTTATAACTGTTATGCATGTACTTATAACTGCTTAAGACCAATTATACAAGCTTCTGCTCATTATTATAAGGCATTGTGTGCCATATAATGCCTTACAAATGCATTTCTAATGCACTATGAATGCAGGATTCATAGGAAGTATTGACACAAACTCTTGTATGTTACCAGATATTGTGTATAGTGTTAGTTCAGGCAGGCCATGAAGTCAAGCTCAGGCCCTAATCTCAAATCACCAGCTGTTGTCAGCTGATCTCAGTTAGCTGAAGGCTCAGCTGATCGGCTACTATGCTTACGCTAAATTCATCAGGCCATTTATTTAAGCTGCTTTAGCCTGACCGTTTTCACTCTTCCTTCATGGGCCACTTTGCAACCCACCTCCACCCCAACTCCTCCTTCATGCTGTGTCTGACTTGATTAAAGTAATGTTTGCTAACACTGATGACTGCCCTGTTCTGTACCCTATGGGGGGCATGGAATAGAGCCATACCACTAAATATAACTTACTGCAAATGTAAAAGATTTTCTTTGACAAAGTTGTATTTTGTTGCTGTTCTGAGAAAAATGTATTTCTGAAATGGTAACTATATAATATAATTATATGTTAATGTAACAAAATTTAGTTTCAGTTCATTTTGGACCACTTCTTTTGGTCCATTCATTGCAAAATGTTCACACGATGTAAAGAGCAGCTGGCCTTTTCAAATAGAGACACAACAAGAAATATGGAGTCATCATGTTTTAATACAACAGCAACAGTTTGCTTGTTAAAAATCATACACGCCTATCCTTTGAAAACACTAATAATCCTCTTTTATCTCCAGGGCTTTGTGGTGGCTCTACTGTACTGTTTTCTCAACGGAGAGGTAAGCATTTCCATCATGGTAACACTAGCAACGTTATCTTATTAGACTCTCCTGTATTTCACTGCCAGTCGCAGATGTGTGTGTGTGCTATGTGTGGATTCATACTGTCCCCTCAGGTGCAGGCAGAGCTAAAGAGGAGGCTGAGAAAGTGGCAGACCCAGACTCATCTGAGTCCTGGCAAAAAGCGCCGCATCACTGTCACCCAGATCACCGTGCTGGAAAGAGGCGACCCACAGGCAGCTGTGTGTTCTGGTAACGTGTCATCAGTGTGAACATGCAGGCTTGACCCCACCGTTGCGTGTCATTAGCAAGGGGGAACTTGCTGTCTTGTTCTGAGGAGCGAAGAGTTTCAGCACAGCTGGATTTGTCTGTCTGGAAGCAAAGGGATGGAGCTTGGATCAAGTAGCATTAAGCTGGAGTGTGAAACACTGAGTTGGTCTCAGGAGGAGGAGATTTTCACTTTTGGGAGTATCAACACACAGCTTCGTGTTGCGGAAGATGTCTGGCTAGATGTCTAGCCCTGTTTAATGTAGCATCCTGTGAGGGAAAAAGACGTCTCTACGAACTTGGCATAGGATCCCAAGTCTTTATTCTAATAAAAACAGTAACTCTAGAGTTAGCTTGAACCGCCTCCAAAGAATCTACAATATGTACTCTTAAAGGTTACAGTTTGCTGCTAATATTGTAAATGATGTAAATTAAGTCTTGGTCCTTTGTGAGGGTTCCTAAAGGATTACTGACCTATGCTCTTGGTTTGGCAGAGCTCTTGGGGGTCCCCAGGCAGTGGGTGATACTATCACAATATATTTTGTGATGTTTACCTCTGTAGTTTGTCACAAGTATTCACAGGATTCTCTTCAGTTCATATCCATTATTTTTAACGAAGGCATGAACACCAGTGCTGATATTTGGTGTCTATCCATGACGGCACTTGCCGACTCCCAGCAGTAGTTGATAGCAGGCAGGTTTGGAGGGTCATGTAAGATGTAAAACCAAATTACATTTCAGTGGATGAAATTCTGGTTATGTGTGGCAAAGATACATGTAGGCTATTGTGAAGTGTAACCATCACATGTTCTCACACTGCCTAAAATGAAAACTCTTTGCTAACAAAAGCAGACTAGTTGGGTTCTGGCATGGCTGATAACAATATTTATTTTCTCAGTGTCTTCACGGCTGTTGCTGACCTGAAGGTATCTAGGTGCCGTTTCTTGGCGGTTTGAGATGTTTTAAAAGCTTTAAACTTCTTTAGAAGCTTTAAATTTCTTCAGTTCTACACCGGAGTGATCTGTCTCGGTGCACAAGATTGTATGGTAATTCAGACTAAGTTTACAGTCCAATTTTGGCCAGTCCAATATTGGCCAGTCCAATTTTGTCTCTTTTATGGGGGGGTTTCCAGGACCCTGCAAGCCTCCCTCAATAAGAACAAGCTTTATAGAAAGGTAAAAAACCCTGTTTAACCTGATGGGACATGGTAGTGTGCACCTACATTTTTGTGAAAGTAAGTGTTCATATCAGACAACCACAGTGTTTGAGTTCCCAGTTAAATGTTTGATGGTGTAGCTAATTGAGGCACGCTGGAAAAAACAACCACAAAAAATGCAACTATGCTAATCTTAGCTACTGTTTTAATAGCTAACTTTGGCTTGTTAGCTTTTTCTTTTGTGCAACAAACAATTAGACTGGATCTGCCCTAACAGTGCAATCTTTCACATGCAAACAAATGAATCCATATGTTTCCTGACCAAAGCGTGTCATAGGTGTAGATGTTTCTTTCTAATTATGCTAATTAAGCCACAGTTAAGCTGCAGTTAACTCAAGTCGAATGAATCTGAAACAAATATGCATTTTTAAAGCCAAATTTGAGCTGGATTAGTTTTACGAGAGGAGGTAGTAAAGTGATTTGTAAGTTATTTGACTGGCTGATTCATACGACATAAAATATCCGTGTTACTTCCTCAAATTATTTTGGCTGGATTTAAACCTCATAGCTAGGACATTTACTTCAGCGGTAAGATAAGCATTAGCCTAACCCTAAAAGGTCTGGCAACAGGGGTGCCAGTTAACCTGTTAGTAAACAGCAAAAGTATGTTTTCTCAATGATGGTAAAAATCTGTAAAATTACAGTAATTTAATGTCTTAGAAATACAGCCTTTTACTATAGTTCAACAGTTTCACCAGTTCAACTAGTTATTCTGACATACAGTATTTTACCATAACAATAACAGAATCAACCACTGAAATAAATGCAAATGTCTGTAAAATAACAGTGATTATTTGTTTTTTGTGAATTTACCTTCTATTTCTGTGAATTGACAACAGCAGTGTTACAGTATATGTATGGTTTACTTACATGCATTTAATAATTATCACTTAGCAGAACACTATGGACATGGCAGATTCGTACTGGATTAAAATCACAGATCTCATTGGTAATAACTACAGCACCTCCCCAGGCAAAACTAATCCAGCTCGAGAACCGCTATTTCTTCCAGTCCAGAGGACATCAACCAGAAGATAACAGAAACTAATAACGCGAAGACGCATCAGGCATGAGAACTGCTTCAAATGTTCTGTACCAAAGGATCCTGCAGTGTTTAAACAAAGCCAACCCACATTATTAATGCACATCAAATGCTGCCAGACTTGTCTGCTTAAAGCTTAATGCTAATTACTATTCTCCCCAATATCCAAGTAGATTGTCTGCTGCAACCGACTGCTGTGAGTAAATGAAATTTACAGCTCCATGACTTTGTTCTATTTAGGGGCAGCCTGTGCATCAGCCTGGTCCCAGAGATGAGAGCATGTAGCCTGAGCCTGTAAACCCCATTCTGTGTCCCATGCTGCACCACTGGAGGCAAGCTAGAGAGAGCTTCAGATCCAGCGTCTGGTTAACGTCACACAATGATTAATGTCGCAAATGCTCTTTTGAAGTCGGTAGTGTAGTTAATATTCAAAAAGTTCTGAGGCGCCTCGTTCCTGTGAAAAAACGTTTTTCCCGTTAATTGCGTCTGGTTGGGTTTGAACCCCTACTTTCTGCTATAATTTGCAGCCAGTTGTTTTTGGCAGCCCTGAAGGTTTCGGTTATGGACATGACGGTTCAGCACGCTGTGTAGGTCGTAACAGTGCAGCGCATAAAGGCAGAAGAAATCAACATTTAATGCGTAAACACTCAAATATAAATGTATATGTTGTATATGTTGTATACTATCAGGTAACTAGAATTACTAGGATTGTAGCATAGACCGGTCAGCTTTGAACTTTGCAGTTTTGTGCTTATGTGCAATGTAATTTACGTCCAAGTTACGAATTGTGTGAACTGCAGGAAACTACTGAAAACTAAAAACCAACTGGAGCACACAGACTGTAAAATATACATGTGCAAGATATTCAACTTTCAGTTTACATTATGAATTTTGTGATATCCACCCTTTCTACATTTTTCATCATTGCTTTAAGACATTTATAAATATGTCATACTGCAAAAAATGATATCTCGGTACATGAACAAAGCTTAAATGTAGGAAATGTATATATCATTCTAATTATGACAGTGTTTCCAAGAAATAGGTAGAATAATCTTATTCATTTTATCTTATCATTCCTGCTGCAATCTCATAATGAGGAATGTTAGATTTGTTGCCTACATTTAGAAAGGTTTTACTTACCAAGATAATACTTTTTGCAGTGCAGCCTCAGTATCTGTAAGATATTGCAGTGTTTCATTAGGATTAGCAGGCTGTAGGTTAGAGAACTAACATCTCAGTGCTGAGAAAAAGCATAATGACATTGTTTTTAAACCATCCATGCAAAATGTCAAAGAAAATAATGATCTTATGATGTGTAGCAATTATATGGTACTAACATCAGTTGTACTTACTGGTAAAAAAGGTAGTGCTTTTACTATACGTTACAAAAAATGAAATAAATGAAGGCTTTAACCCTTTACTGCATGGCGTTGCCTCATGGCAACAATTACTTTTTAACATTATTTGCCTGACTAAGATATAAAAGTCATTTATTTTCTTTTTCTTTGGGAAACTGAAGGGTTTCTGTGTAGTATGGTATGCTTTTATCTGCCTTCCTGGTGCAGTCTGGACTAGAGGTCTGCTACCTGACAGAATATCAGGTTTCAGGCTGGGTTTGGACGAGTTTTCATGTGCAGCATTGGGTTAGTTTTGACACTTGGGTTTTCTAATTAGTGATTTTTTTAGATAGTAGATTTGGTGCACTTTCACATTTTCTCTGTTGCAATCTCTCTCTCATGCACACACATTCGCTCTCTTGCGCTCTTTCTTGTAGCGTTAGCTGCATTTGGAATAGCTCTGAAGTTTGAGGAGTAGGTGAATGTTCCCCTGAATAACATAGATGATGAGAGGGATGTGGTGGGCTGGAGAAAGAACACAGCAGATCTTTCTCCTTGATTTCCCCTAGATGAAGGTGGATTTTGTTCTCAATTCCACACAAAAGTAAACTGATAATAAAGACTTTTAGTGGATAACAGATGTGCAAATTACCAGTTTATCCCAGCATCACACCTTCTGTCACTCACCTCAAGTTTTCACCCACACGCCACACATCTGGAGAGGCCAGGCCTCTGAAACACACTCAAGTTCAAATTCAATATTCATAAAACAATCTCAAGAAAACAAGCTAAACACAATCTGGGGGAGGTTGACACTTCTTTTTCATAAATGAAACCAGTTTAGATTGTATTGATCTTGTATGCAGTGACAAAGTATAATTGTTGCCGTATGGCAACAGCATAAGAAACGGCAACTACAATCTCCAGAACACATGATGTTTTTTCCTTCTCTGAATAATGAATGGCAGGCAGTGTGTTGGTTTACTCCCAGTATATGCATTATAGTTCCACTGTTGCATGCTGTTGCCCTGTGGCAACAAAATGCAAAGTATCCCCAAAATCATCTTTTTTCATTAAAAAAAGTTATATATATATATATATTTCAATGAATTATGTCATTTTCAATATGACAAATCACGTTTTTTTTCATGTGTATTTCATAACTCATGCAGTAAAAGGTTAATGATTCATTACCTTCAACAGAAACCATAAGAAAACACAGAACTGGAATCTTAACACTACTGATACAGTGCTATAAAATATGTGTATGTGAGAGAGTCTTGATGTGATAATACAAAACATCCATCACAGATTCACCTATTTATTGAATATTTTGGCACTTTTACAAAGAAATAAATATATATTCTCAAAGAATGTTATACCATCAGTGTCTCTGTTCTGAATGTA